TTCCTTCAAAGTAAAATACTTGCATGTCAAATATGAAAGGCTGTACCCATGATGGCCAAATGACCGTTGTACTCTAGAGTAGGCCTAAGCACATCATACACAGTTGCGTCGTCTGAATCCAAGTAGGTACCGATCTGCGACAACCGATAAATTCTTTGCCTTCGCAGCAACCTCGTGATCGTACCAAAGTAGTCGTTGAAATCAGTCGCGACCTGCAAAGAATGCTGTAAAAAGCTTACAAATAATTTCCATAATAACTTCTGTCATCGTTTCTTGGCCACCACGTTCATTTGACGTTCAGACGCCTCCTTTGGATATGGTGGTTCTGTCCACAGGCACAGAGGATGTTCTACTTTTTTCAGCTCAAATACACTTTATGAGGCGCGATCCACTCGCGACGGAGGCACCGCCCCGCCCACTGGCCACGGCAACGCCTGGCGTTCGCTTCTTGAGACCTCTCAGTAGTGCGGTTGTTCAGCTGTTCGCTTTCTCCATTTCGGGTGATGAGGGCGAGGTAATAAGGGAAAAACTGGCATCAACAAGTGAGAACCTCGCCCTCCATCCGCTTTATGCACCTACTAGAACAGCTCAGCAGGGGGCTCTATATGAGACTATTTTGGCGGGTTTTAATTTTCCCTACTTTTTTTCTTCACTTTTGTTTTGTTCACCGTCTTTTCATTAGTATTTGAGCCCCACATTCCACCACTTTGAACGCGGGCGTAACTTTAACTATAGCTGCTCTTGAAATAGAACAGGTTTTAATATCAATGTTGAATGACGTACCTGAGGAGAATGGCTTCCAAACAAGTTCTTCGTTCGAGAGTCGCTGTGGATATCCCACTGCGAAGGCGATGCGATTGAAATCGTCCATGTTTGGAGAAGGGTAAGAAAGGTGGTTCGTTAAGAAGTCTTTTTTCAACTCTCCAAGAAATGACAAGAGCTGCAATCACAATTAATGAGTGACGAGATGTAGTGGTCATTTCAGTCGTTATCACTTAAGTCAGTCGCGGCGTGTTGGTGGAGGGTGGGTTTTGGCGCGGGGCCAGCCTGTGTTCCATCGATCGTTGCGACCTCGGCTGTTTAGTGAGAGGTGGGTGAAGAGCTGGCGTCTCGCCAGAAAGCACGCGCTGGTGGCACGTTCAACTGACTTCAGTGAAAAGGTTGCGTTAATACTTTGCGGCAGCGTCCACCAGTGCAAAAGCGTCCGGCAGCGTCAGCGACTAGGAAAGAATAGATATCGATCTAGCGCCTGCCAGCGTCCAGGGAGTGGAGAGTATGGCGCGATATCAGGGTAGCAGACAGCTGGTAGAGTATGGGGAGATAGGAAGGTAGCAGACTTCTGGTAGAGAGTTTGGAACGATAGGAGGGTAGCACACAACTAGTAGAATACGGGGAAATACACTGCGTACCAAAAGTATAGTTCCACCCATAAATCTCACAATATCCCGCCCTACACGACGTTTTCAAAAAAGCCTCTAGATAGAAAATGTGGTAATTACCAGTGCCAGTTTGCATGCCAACATCGAGAACTAACTTTCCAGAGCAACTTCAATTTTCTTCATTTTTTGAAAATTTCTCACTTTGACAATGTCCCAAAATATAGTTCCACCGCATATTTTCCCACTACGTCTCATTTTTTTCGGGTAAAACTGTCTCATCATCATTACTTTTCACCTTTTCCGGGTTATGGTGACAGGACATTCTTTGTCAGACTTCGGAAAAGGGATTATCGTAAAGAAGGCTCAAGGACTGTCGAATCGTCAAATCGTAAGGGAGTTGGGCCGCAGTCATCACGTTATCAATAACTTTGTCAGGGAACCCGCACGATATGGAATCAAGAAGAGCTCTGGGCGTCCTCCTTTGCTCTCTGATCGAGAAAAGCGCCGTACTTTGAGAGAAGCATCGAACTGCACAACGTCGTGCCTGAAAATAAAGTCAACTTCGAGGCTTAACGTCTCGAAGGAGACTGTTCGGCGTGTTTTGAAAAACTCCTGAGTTCACCTACAGGAGGAATATGAGTTAGGCACTGTTTTCTAAAAAAAAACCATCGCGAAAACTTAATTGGCTTCGCTCGAAGATGTTGCCGAACCGATTGGAGTGAGGGTAGCTTTTGGCTGCGGTGCCCTACTGCTTGTCTGTGTTGCTTTTTTATTTTTTTTCTCGCGGTCGTGTTTTCTGATGAGAAAAAATTCAACTGCAACCGCTCAGGCGAAACCGATTCCGCTGGCACGACCTGAGGGAAGACAAGTTTCATTTTTCCGGGCGGAACTTCAGTGGATGTGATCTCATGGTCTGGGGTGCCATCGCATCAATGGAACGTCTGAAACTGTGCTCCGTATGGAAAAAAAATGATTTCTTCCGTCTATCTAAAAGTCATGCGACGACGTCTCCTTCCTTTCTGGTGTAGAAATCAGCAAGAAAGTCCTGTTTTCATGCAAGACAATGCACCAATTCATGTCAGCCGAAACACTCGAGCGTGGTTCAGTCGTCATCAAATCGCTCTTTTGCCCTGGCCAGCGAATAGCCCTGACTTAAACCCAATCGCGAATGTGTGGGGCTTCATGGTACGCAAGATCTATGAGAACAATGCACAATTCCACAAGTTCCGTGAGCTCAAGAAGTCAATAATTGATGCATGGCAGCATGTCGACCGAAAACTGTTTTAAAACCTCTATTCGAGCATGGACAACCGCATTTTCCAACTTATTCAAAGGAATGGGGCTGCAATAGATTAGAATTTATTCATCTTGTTGTACACTTGTTGTTTTATGAATCGATTTGTTTAGTGGAACTATATTTTGGGACATTGTCAAAGTGAGAAATTTTCAAAAAATAAAGAAAATTGAAGTCGCTCTGGAAAGTCAGTTCGGTGTTGGCATGCAAATTGGCACTGGTAACTACTACATTTTTATCTAAAGGCTTTTTCGAAAACGTCGTGTAGAGATATTACGAGATTATTACGGGATATTACGGGATATTACGAGATTTATGGGTGAAACTATACTTTTGGTACGCAGTGTAGGAGGGTAGCAGACGGCTGATCGCTGGTGGACGCTTAGGCGCTGGCAGACGCTAGATTGACACCCATACTTTCCTGGCCCTCGAGACGTCGGTGGACGTTTATAGACGCTGATAAATGCTGGTGGATGCTGGCAAACGCTAGATCGATTTTGATTCTTTTCGTTGAAGCTGCCGGACGCTGCCGCAAAGTATGCGCAGCCCAACGACTGTAGCTACAGCAACATATTTATCGAGTAACAATAACTGACTCACTTTATCTTTCTTTCCCAAGCGATTGTTGGCAATGTATAGCTTCTGAGCGGACTCGAAACTTTCAAGATTTTCAGCGCGCACTGTAACCAGATGTCGTTGGCTATACAAGGATAGACCGACTGAATTGCACTTACCTCATCTGTCGTTGTTCATCAAAAGCAAAGCAAAGGTTTCCAAATGTTTCACTGTTACAACTACAAGATAGTTGGCCATGGTTTGAAGTGAGTAACGAGAGACGAGTAAGGCGAGACGGTTGAAATACTCAAGATTGATCACCGATACCATGGTTTCATCCGTCAATTTAAGTATGGGAGATAGCTCAGCTCCGAGCAAATCTCGCCAGCCAATCTGAACAGAAATTCAGGCAGATGTCAATTATTTATGAGAGAGGTAGCTCGTTATGAGAAGCTACTATCAGCTTGCACAGAAAAATTGTCGCAACCTGCGGCACTGCCGATTTGAAGTCGTTCAACGTCATGTCGGTAATGTTCTGCTCTGAAGACCTGGTGAGCTGAAAAGAGATAGAAGCAGGATCATGTCCGTGGAAAGTTGGCAGTGAAATTCACAGATGCAACAGTACTCTCTTCTAGAAGAGGGATTGATGGTGACAGATCGAAGAAGAGGGCGTTCACCCAACCAGTTAGGTTCTTTGCGATTAGAAGATCATTGTGCAAGTCACCTAAGAGGAAGGTATCTGCCGTGTGCGAAGCGACTGGGTCCGCATCTGCAGTAGCTTGCTGCTTTCGCCGCTTAGAAGTGCGATGGTGCTACATGAGTGCCTCTCCATACTCCGAGCTATCCTCGAGGCGCAGCCCTTGCGTCGATGAATACACGCACTCAGTGGTAGAGAACAACTAGAAGCGATAGGGTACAAACAAGTAGCTCGTTCGGCTACAGTTGGGTGCGCGGCTGGTTAGGCGGCAGCGCAGAAAGACAGCACTCAAGAGCCGCTACCTTTTAACCCTTTTTCCGTGGATAGTCGACCGGAGACACTGGAACGCTCTTAGAGCTACGACGACATCTCCACTCACGCGGCAAGGACCAGGATCTAGGAGGTGAAGGTATATGTAGTTTGTCTTGAGAGTGTTCACAGGCTGTAATGAATGTTCTTCAATACGTAGCTGAAGGAGTTCAGAAAAATTCTAGCTTTGACAAGTAAGAAACTCGTCTTCGCAGCGGTAATAATGGCCCTAGTGTGCAATAGGATGTGTTGAATTAATTCCTTCAACGCTTCATGACTACATTCCTTTTTTCTCCCTATGGTCATTCTTCGGCTTGCACACTATAATGCACACTATATTCTCGTCATCCGGGCAGTTGATTAGGGCGGTCGTCAACGGGCCGCAGCGCGTGCCAGGAACTATTTGCTTTTCCAGGCTAATTTAGTCATTTTTTCCACCTTGTGAAGATAAGGAGCTGCTAATCTGGGAAAAAGTAGCCAAAACAGTGAAAGTGGAAAAAAAATGCAGAACTAAAAATTCCAGCCTGTGGAAGAAAAGCAAATAGTTCCTGGGCACGCCCGCGTTTTGCGGCCCCCGCGTGACGAACCGCTGCCTCAATCAACTGCCTCCTCGGATGACCGAGGGCCTCCGTGAGGTTACTAATGGTAATGCAGTTGAGTATAACTGAAGTTGAGTAGTTGAACACTATACACTATAATGTACACTATTAATGTGTGGCAAAATTATGGAAACTCATTGCGCAGAAAGATTTATCACTTACCCAGGATACTTATGGCGCTAACCGTCAAGGTTTTTATCACAGAGGGTAATAGTAGAACTGCGAAAGGCTCAAGGTGAAAGAGTTCCTGATAATATCCTGCCGTGGAGCATTGCGCTCCCTTTGGGTTGAGAAGGATCACTAGTATAGCGCCCTCCTTATCGTGCTGTCCTCAGGCTTTTTGAACACGCACTCATTACAACCGCTCCTCTCGTGCGTTCAGCTGTAGAGGCCGTGTGCATGTTCGCGATGACGTCCTTTTCCTGACTCTGCCTAGTGGAGCCCAGTCACATGCCCATCTGTAGAGTCGTTTCAGCTTAATGAAGCTGCCTTTTGCGGGTTCTGCCCAGGGACCAGCATTCGCTGTCGCGAAGTTTGCTGCATTGATTTGAGCCTTCAATGACTGATCCGCGCTATCATTCGCTTTTCATGTACGTGAAGTCCCCTACTGCTTAACGTTTCTGCTTACTATGGGTTCGAGCACGATGTTCCGCTCTTGTCTTCCCAATATATTGAACAGGTTGTCCACTTCTCCAGGCTCCCGGGAGCCTGCAACATTCAAGAGCGTTCACCGAATGCAAGTACTTGAACTTACCACAAGGATGCTGAGATACTGGCAAAAGTCGGACCTTGAACCCGCATTTCCCAATTACCGGGCGCTTGCGTTATCCATTACGATACCGTTGCCTTCTTAGCTCAATGGCATTTCGTGGTGACTTATGGAGCGCGCACTGCGGCGTTAAACAGCAATTATGAGAACTAAAACAGCAGGTGTTTGAATTTTTCTCTGCTTCATAGCAGTTGCCGCCCCTCTTAACCTTCCTCTCCTTATCCAAATACTCCGGTCCGCGATGTCTGAGATTGTACCACTGTTGTGACTCCACAGTGAGTGACGAGAGCATGAGGTCGTCAAACGATGAAGTACGGTATAGTACGGTGTAAGATGCCTAGCCCATTGGAGGCAGTTGGCACGATAAACC